GGCGGCGACGTTCAGAGGCCTCCGTTTCCATGGCAGCGGATGCGCGTGCATACGCACGCGTGCGTGCGTGAGAAGAATAAGGAAACACTGGCTAATTGCGCCAGCTAATTAGCAAAGCCTGTTTTTCTGCATTATTATAGTTTCATCCTGACCTAAAGGTGAGTTCAGCCAAAGCTGCATTTAATAAGGCAAAGGAGCGAGTTCTAAAGCTCACTGGCCGCTTTCTAAGGTTTTCTACTGAAATATTTGACAATAAATCTGAATTTAGAAAGAAATTTTAATCTGAATGAGAGAGTTGCTTTTTTTTTCCAATCCGTTTTGCAGCCATGTACACTGGAAAAAATCTAAATCTACATAAGTCATTTTTTTCTTAAAATATGTGCATTTGTTCTTGATTTGAGGAGGTAAGTGAGATATTTTGCCAACAGAATAAGATAATTTTCAAATGAGTATTCAATAAGTATTAGTATTCAAGAATACAAACAAAATGTTCTATTATCATTATTTTTCTGTGTAATTTTTTAGAGTCATTTTAAAGAACCTTATAACTTGCAGAAACCACCTGATGTATTGATGCGTAGATCCTCCTGCTACAAATTCTACACCACTTGTAAACAACTTCAGCATAAAAATGGCACAAAAAATAAAGACAGCTATTTTGATTATTATTTATTATTAAAAAACAAACCAAAAAGAAAACAGGAGAGTCTTAATTCTCAAACTTTCACTATTGAATCCAGGTTTAATGTTGAATCTTTGACCACAAAGAAACTACAACTCTGATTTGAGAGCTCATCTGAACAACCTGGCCACATGTCAACAACAAACGCTTTAATACAATTAATTAACTATAAATAATATCTGTTTCTCACATGGTAAGATTCTACAAAGTCTGTGTGCTGGATGCTGAGTTTTTTCAAGTGGCTTATGTGACACACTGATGTGTATTCACATTATTATTTGTTTGATTTTAAGAGACAGACTGATTTTGGGTAATAATTTGTTTGAGTTGTAGTTGCACACACACACCACAAGGTGGCACATTACTGCATGAGACGCCATAGTGAGGCCATAGGCTCTGCTTCTTTAAAAACTTCACCTGTCGCTTGTCTCTTTTATTCTCCTGTTTTACATGTTAGTAAGAGTATAAATCACATGAAATGGGTCAAAAATTACTTTTGTGAAACACAGCTAAATGTGATTTTATAAATCAGTCGGCAAACACTGCATTTATGCAATTAATTAACTATATATAATATCTGTTTCTCACATAAGGGACAGTAAGGTTAGATTCTACAAAGTCTGTGTGCTGGGTACTGAGTTTTTCAAGTGGCTGATGGGAACAGAAGAGACCTGCTGGAGTGAAACCTTTGCTGGTACCGCTGCGTTCAAAGGAACCAGACCACAGTCCATTTTCGCCCATCGTGGGACAGCAGATTTTACTCTTAATGGGTAACTTTGCCTTGTAGGTAAGCCAAAAGATATGAGTAGGTGTTTACTTAGATCTTTATGATAGTTTTCCACAGGCAGTTTTACCACAGCAGTAGAATAAAACCCTGAAATTATGTTTCTTTGTACCACCCCAAGAATTTCCATCTTTCTTACTATAGAATAATGACCTCTATTCTGAACCAGATATTCTTCTGGGTTCATCTGGGACTTCCTGGATGAGTCGCTGATTATCTCTTAGAGTAATTCTGGTTGGTTGTTCCATGTTTTCTACATGTATGGATCATGATTCTGATGAATGTCGGAAACTTGGTTCCTCAGTCTTCAACGATGGGAAGTAAAGAAGTACAAATACTTTGTTACTGTACTCAAGTAGAATTTTGTGGTATTTTTACTTTACTTTACTACTTATTTTTATGGTGACTTTTTACTTCTACTCCTTACATTTTTACACAAATATCTGTACCTTCTACTCCTTACATTTTTTAAAAATTGGCTCGTTACTTTAGTTTTGAATCATTTCAATGGAGTTACCGTTATTATTTTTCACGTCATCAATACCAAATTCAATCTAATTGGATGGGAATCTACGTTGCATTTGACGCACCACTACAAGATTAATCGACAGATTCGGCGGTTTTCATTCACGGCAAATCATTGCAGCTTGGTGGCGGTGGCGTTAGCATAGTAGTATGGACAACGAGATGATTGAAAATGAACACAGCGGAGATCTAGTCCTATTCAATTCAATTCAATTCAGTTTATTTATATAGCGCCAAATTCACAACACATGTCATCTCAAGGCACTTTACAGTTCAACCAGATCATACAGTCAAATTGATACAAAGTTTTCTATCTAAGGAAAACCAGTTGATTGCATTGACTCATTGACTCAAATACAATCCCCCACACTAAGCATGCTTGTAGCGACAGTGGAGAGGAAAAACTCCCTTTTAACAGGAAGAAACCTCCAGCAGAACCAGGCTCAGTGTGAGCGGCCATCTGCCGAGGCCGACTGGGGTTCAAGGAGACAGAAGCAGAGATACAAAAAGCAGCTGTAAAAGGCGGCCCCGTCCAGGAAACACACAGCCAGGCAGACGAGCTCCAAGGCAGCTCCCATGCCAGAGGACGAAGAGAGCACATCCACTCACTCACGGTCAGAGAAACAGGACCACACTGGAAAACAGGCCGATCTCCAACATCTATTAACAAGGGTGTTGATAGAAGCAGCACAGCTGATGTTTTTTTCCAGGATGACGTCACAGCCAAACAGGAACAGACGAGGCAAAGCTACTCTGAGGAAAAGCAGAGAGAGCAGAAGGTTAGAGATTGGCAGACATCCATTTAAAATGTAGGCAACGGCATGAAAAAAGTGGTTTCTACTTTTACTTTTATACTTTAAGTAAATTTACAAGCCTGTACTTTGTTACTTTTACTTGAGTAAAGAAGTTTAATCAGTACTTCCACTTTTACCAGAGTATTTTTTAACACAAGTATCTGTACTTTTACTCAAGTACGGTAAGTGAGTACTTTTGCCATCTCTGTCAGTCTTACATTTCTTTAGATCAGGCAGCCATGTGATCTTTTGCCTTCTTTATTTTGTCAGAAGGTGTTATTTAACTTTTGGGATTGATTTTGAAGCTCTTTGTGATCTTTATGTTTGGAAAAGCTCTATTTAAATGAAGTTTTAAATATAATAATAGTTTTCTCTTTCAGGGGCCAGGCCATGCTGTGATCCATCAAGCTTTTTGATAGATACAAAAACACGATCTTTATTTATTTATGTATTATTTTCTTTACAGTAGGGTTGTATAGTTCATCTTCTGCCACATACTCTACTGGTTTTAGAAGAGTGTTAGGGCGGGTCTGTTTGCAGAGACTGAGGTCTGATTGGCTCAGCAGCATGTCTGTTGTTCTGGATCTGGGGGGGCGGGGGTGGTCAGTGTGGAATATAGAAACCCCTCCCTTCAAACTGAGCAAACAGCTGCAGAAAGCCTTGGAGAAGGAGAACAGCAGGCAGCAAGATGGGCTCCAGGAGCTCCAGCCTGAACAACGTCCCAAACGGCCAGGAGCTCCAGCAGCAAACGGGATGTGAGTTTGATCCTCCTCCATTCTTTTGTTTATTTTAGGGGGTGAAAGACACAAGAAACTATGATATCAGATCGGTTTCATTCTGGGGTTCCGCTTTCAGATGTCAGTTTGACCGTTGTCTGTGACTAGAAACAGCTGCAGAGAAACTTCAGCCTCAAACTGCTTTTGTGAATTTAATATGAGCATAAGGAAAGCAATGCACAGACCTGCAGTGTTGACCAAAAACAGCTTTCTTACTAAAGTCTATTCTCCTTTATTCTGATTGAGTTCTGTGAGAGAATTCGTCCTACAAGGAAGAACATGTTGGCACAATATCTGCAGCTCAGTGTGTTCAGAGAAACGGTCAGACCTTTATGTGTGATTCAAAGAATCAAAACCCTAAAGCTCTTGATGCTGCCAGGGAGAGACTGCTCTCTGTGCTGTTTGATATTCTGGTGGTGGTTTGAGTTTCACGCTTCCAATAGAGTTCTTCAGAACTCATCAGGTCGGTTGATCTGTGTCTCCTCCCTCAGCTGTCCTCACTGATAGAGACGCTGACGACAGAAGATAAAACTGTTTTCATGCTTCTGTTTGTCATTGTGCTGCAGAGCTGGACTATTAAACTTGTTCCTTTACAAAACAAGAGGGGTTTAAAACACTTTTGTCTCTGAAGCAACACGTTAGGAGGTTTAAGGATAATAAAGACTCCAGAATATATGATAAATTGTTCTGACACCAACAGAAATACTATCCCAGTTTAGAGTGTAAGTCTCCAACCCTGGAGAACCACCAACCTGTAAACAGCTGAACTAAATGAACGGAGATCTGTGGAGTCAGCTGCAGAGGCGATTCTAGAGTCTGTGGGGGCCCCAAGCAAAAAATCCTAGGGGGCCCTACTGACCAGTGTTCATCACCATTATGTTAGGCTATAAATAATCTGACACCAATGAAAAATGTATTAAATAAAACCTTTTTTTTATTCTAAATGTTCTAAACATGAACAACCTTGTTATTTTGGAAAATATAAAAGAATAAAAGTAAAGAATAAACTAATTAATTAAAATAAATATATAATAAAATAAAAAAAACAGTAAATTACTTTAAAAACCCAATATAAACTTTGTACAAAATATAAAGGAAGTATAGTGAAATTATTGGGGTCCTATACTGCTTCCAGAATTGCTGCTTACGGGCCTTGGCTTGTGCAAATGCAGACATAAGTCCTCCAGATCCAAAGACCTTCGCACACTATACTCTATGGAAATAAGCGCCAGTCCTGAAAGTCTCTCTTGAGACATGGAAAATGAACAATTTTCCTTCAGCTTAGTTACATAATTGTTTTCCAATTTACTGAACGATAGGCCTACAACGTCACCCATTCGCTAGTCTACGTTCATTTTCATTAAGGGAAGTCATCCACCTGGGCTGGGCTGGATTTTGACTGGGCAAAGCCAATGTCAATCAACATTCCATCCAATCTGAATTTTTATATGCAGTTGTGCATCTCCTCAGTCACTATAGCGTTGCAACTTCATGCTCGCCTGTTGCTGTTTATCTACCGGGTGTACAGTAGCTGGCTCTCGGGGGCCCCCCAGCGGCTCGGGGCTCCAAGCAGTTGCTTGGTTTGCCTGTTGACAAGGTGCGCCTCTGGTCAGCTGATGGTGTTTTAGGTTGTAACATAACAATTCTTAAGGAAATAGGAAAAGATTAATGTGCTGAGAAGCTAAAATTTGGTTTTTCACAACGGCGTAAGCCTGAATCATCTAAATCAGGGTTAATCAATTAAAAATCCGCTGGGATCGAATAAAGAAAATCAACAACCAGTAAAGGTCCAGAGACAGTGGCGTGCTTACATAGACACTAGGTGGTGCTAAAGCACTAGGAAGTTTGCCCTTTTTCAAAGAAAATGCCCTTTTGAAACTCGTTTTTTTTTATTATTATTAATAATATATTAAGATTTTACTGAGGTCGGTTTTGAAATGATCTTTTGAAAACCTGAGCCATTAAAAACGACTGAAACAATGCCCCGAAATGAGCCACCAGCCGACCAGCCTATCTCTCTTCCTTTGTCACGTGAACTCGCGCGGTCGCCCGCAGGTCATGCCAGATGCGCAGCATCATAGCAGTTCAGTAGCGTCTTCAGATAGCAGGAACGGTCGCTGACAGGCTGCTTCCCCTGTGCCCTATTAGCCAGGTAATATACAGATCCAGCAAAATCATTTTGTTGTGCATTAAAATGTGTCATTCAGCAGCACCAAACACGCATTTTGCCGACTGGTCACCTGATAAACTAGTTGTCTCCTTGTAAGATGCTATTTTACTTTTTATATTTTATATCCATATTTCTATCTTAAGTGTATATATTAGTCTATTTTATTGCATGACGTATACCCACAGTTTTTAGATATTTTTATAATTTTATTTACCTATTCCATATTATATGTTTCATGTTGCACGATTGTACCATAAAAAACTCCTAGTTTGTGAACTCCTTCACTAACAATGGCAATAAACCTGATTCTGAAAGTTTTACACTGTGGCCCAAATCAATGACAGATAACGTGAGGACGACCACAGAGGCTACAAATAATTTCGGTAGAGTTTGCAATTGCAAATCTACGGAAGAGGATTAGGGCTTCTGAAAAAAAAAATAAGTTAACTGATTTTAAAATTTTATTTCAGTTTAGTATGGGAAAAAAGTCAGAATTCTGACTTTAATCTCAGAATTCTGACTGAATTCTGAGAAAACAGTCAGAATTCTGACTTTTTAACCCTAACCCTTTAAATAAAATTTAAAAATCAGTCAACTTTTTTTTTTTTTGCAGTGGCCCTAATCCTTCCATACAAATCTATGTGTTAAGACAAACGTTTTCTGTTGTATAGTTTTTGTTAGGCAACATAAATTAACACATTTTGGTCTCTTTATTGTCTTAATTGTATATTGATTTAGTAATTGCAGTACAATGCCAAGAAAGGAGGGTTAATCGTATTGAAAAACCATAAAAGCTGTTCACATTTTATTTTTAAGTGGTTTGTACAAAATCAGCAGGTATTAAAATAGCTATTATTTTGTAGGCTACCATAAGTCATATCCACGTGACAAGACTTCCAGTCATGTAGCCCTAATAGCCCATTATTTAAACTAATGTGGAATATTTGTTAAAGCTATTATTATTATTATTATTATTATTATTATTATTATTATTATTATTATTATTATTATTATTATTATTATTATTATTATTATTATTATCATTATTATTGTCATGATGGTTATTATTATTATATTGTAGCCAGTCACAGCAGGGAAGCTCTACCATCAACATCTACCAGGACAGGAGATGAGGAAGAGTTCAGGGAAGACAGAGACAGAAAAAGACGAGGATGAGGGAGAACAGATGGATGAGGGAGAACAGATGGATGAGGGAGAACAGCAGGATGAGGGAGAGCAGATGGGTGAGGGAAAACAGGGAGATGAGCCAGATGAAAGAAGTACGCTTTAGTCTGTTCTATTGGTGATGTGACTTTTTTCCATTGCAAACTCACGTTTAGAGAATGTTACAGATTAAAGTCAAATTTCATTCAACATGCGTGTATTTTTTTTTTTATTAAGTGTTCCACGTGCGCTAAAAAGTGCCCTCCCCCCTCCTGAGCACCTGCCCCCCAAAATGTCTGTGCACGCCTCTGTCCAGAGACATTGTTAATTATAATCTGTTACATTAAACAGAATTTAGCACTGAAATAAAATGAAGTGTTTATGCATCCATGTTATACTTTGACTTTTAAAATAAAAAAAATACAAAAAATAGAATACTTTTCCATTTTTAAATCTAAAGTGTTTTTTGAAGTAGAGAACAACAATCGTTCAATTTGGTATACAGACAATTTCCTGATTCACTGTCAGGTCTAACACCTAAAACACTGTAAAACAAGGAAAGAAAGGCACAGAGTCAGAATTCTTTTTACTCGCCAGGAGAGAAGGAAGAGACCATGCAGGTACATCTTCACCCCACTCTGCCGGTCTTCAGCTTTCTCCTTGCTATTTATTAAAGTTAGAGGGGAGGGTCCCTAGTTACACAAGCTGAGGTTGCACTAAAGGAATAGGAAACAAGAAATACAATTCAATTTGCAGCCTCAGAGAACAGGTCAATTTGCATTTAAATCTCTTGCGGTCAAATGGTCAGAGAACCTCCTGGTTTCGTTAAGCTTGAGCAATACTTCCTGACCTTTGAGTTGACCTAAACTGCTTGTGCAACACCTCTCTGGAACAGTAATATGTCACACATTATACATCATAAGAACAAACATTAAGTATCTTATACATAATTATTCCAACATTCACATATTTTATTAAAACACCTGAACTGACCATTTATATTTTTTTTCTTTCTTTTTAATGGCGTAATGAGAGCAGTGGGCTTTATGCTTTCCTGCAAGACTTTAAACCTGGGTTTGAATGGAGACAAAGCCATTCTAAAGCACATGTCAAGGTGTTTATTTTGAGCCTGGATCATATTTATTTTTGATTCTGTTCATGGTGGAGAATCCTGCTTCACAGAAGCAGGTTGAGTCAAACATCCTCTAAATGTGCAGGGTCATCTTTGAGTACCATTTCACTTTTCTGTCACCATTTCACCACAGTTCTTCCAGCAGTCCACACTTTCTCTGCTCTCTTTTTCTCATCTTCTTCTCCTTCTTTCCCATCGCCTGGCTTGCTATGGGTTTGCCTGATGTGTCTTAAAGTAGCAGCAGCAGCAACCCAGACTGACAGCGGCTCATTTACCGTACAAACATGAGAAGAGGCGCTAGTGAAGTCTTATTATAATAAAACATAACTGCATTCATAGTGAGACTGTAAGAAGAGGCTCAAGGAGAAATAAATAACAAAAAATATGTTTTCTAAATAAAAGCGCAAAGATTTAGGGTTCAATTCAGTTCAGTTTACAATTCACAACACATGTCATCTCACAGCACTTTACAGTTCACCAGATCATACAGTCAAATTGATTCAAAGTTTCTGGGGTTCAAGGAGACAGAAGCAGAAATAGAAAAGGCAGCTGTAAAATGCGGCCCCATCCAGGAAACACACAGCCAGGAAGACGAACTCTGAGGGTTGCGGAGAGAATTAACAAAAATGGTTTCCACTTTAAAGTGCAACTCACCCCATGTAAAATCATCACCCCTTCCTCAGACGGATTCTAAAAAACCCCAGCAAGGCAGGCGGTACAAAGAAATCCTAAGGAGCAGAGTTAAGTATGAGGATAAGTGGTGCGGGTGTGGCCAGGAAGAGGAAAAATAGCCGCTAACCTAGCCTTACATAGCTTAGCTGTAAGGAAAACGGAGAGCAAACAGAGGGACATTGGACAGATCTGTTGTTATATATATATATATATATATATATATATATATATATATATTATACCTAGTAAAATAAAAGTAATAGTCTTTATCAACAAGAGTGATGTTCATTCGCCATATATTAATCCTTGCGAGGGAGAACATAAAGTCTTTGCTGATGTTCGGTTTGTTTTATTTAAGCTAAGTATTTCACCAACTACTTCAAATTAACCAAAGGATGGGAGGGTTTCACAAACATCTTAATCAAAACAAGTTACAAATAGCTTCCCCAAAGAGATGTTGAATAATCTTGAACTTCAGTGAGTCTAACTCCCTTCCAAAACATCTTGCACTGGAGAGCAGCTTTTCAGGCGTCAGTAAGATGAGGTTCATGTCCTGCAACCTGAATTTATACTTTTTGTGCAATAAGGGAAATAAAACACGCTCATATTCAGAAATAAATGGAGGAATAGATGAATACATGGGAAAATAACTTCTCCCACATAGAAGTGGAGGACTTTTTTTTAACCCAGAGTAACAGCAGAGGTTGTGGGAGACTTTGTGGAGTATAATGGACCGGTCCCTTATCAGTTCAAGCTGCTTCACTCAAGGTTCAAAGGTGAAGGACAGTAATTTGCATGTTCTGACCCACAAATGTTTTGCAGGTTCATCAAGGACAACATCTAAATTTGATGCACCTACTGTTCTGCTCATTTTAGAGAACCGGACCCTGTGTTCACCTGGCTAGTAGATCAGCTTTGTGCACTCTCATATATTCAGGAGGGTTTAGTTGACAAAGGCTTCTGCATGTTTTTGTTGGAATCACCTTTATTTGGGTTATTTCCAGGTGATCAGTTGGACCCTATTGGGTTCTGGATTTATTGTGTAATTCAGACAGATATTTATCGAAAATTTCAGAACCAGTGTGAGCCAAATGGGGCTAATTTAAATGGTACTGGCTGTTACACACTCAGAACATCAATCCTAGAGGAACTCAGTGTGACTCTAATTAACTGTTTCTAATTTCAGTCTCTGCTGCCCACCTCCTCCGTCTCTACGAGAGGTTTCAGTTTCTGGATAAAGACAACAGAGGACACCTCAGGTTGGTCCAGCTCAGAACATTGTGGCTCTGGCAGCTGCAGCGTAAACCCGGTTTAATCAGAGACAGATGAAGCGTCATGGTTCTGAACCACATTAATCCTAACTGAAGTAAGAATCTTTACCTGCTGGTAGTCTTTGCTGCCATGTAATCCGGTTCAGACTATTGTTGCGCCGATGCCAGTTTTTGGCCCCGATACCTGGCTGTGCAGTATTGGCCGATAACAATACCATCTGTTTGAAATTGATGTGTGTGTGTATATGAAGAACTGCATACTACTTGGATGTAAAATAATTGCCATCATGGCTTTGTCAAGCTGCTGCCTACCTTTGTGAAGCAGGAAAAAACACTAAAACAAAGTGAATCCAGTAGAACGTTTTATTGCCTACCTGGAATGGGTGACAATAGTTTATTATTATTTGGCTCTCAAAATGGTATCAGTGCTCTATTTGTTGATACTGAAACCACCATTTAAGTGCTGGATCGGGGCCCCGCCTGATACTGGTATTAGTATAAGTGCAACACTAGTTCAGATTATCCCAAATAAATGCAGAACCGGGCACATTTAAGGCCGATGTAGGGACCAGATCTGTTCAGGTGGTCATGAAGTAAAACATTGTGGTTTCCCAGGCAACGATTATAACATAATGCAGCGTCAGTGTGACGATTCAGGAGGATCTGTGGCGTCAGCGTGTCTAATGACCAATGAAGTTTTACCTGATCGATAACAAAACTGAAAAAAGTGTTTAAGTTGAACAAAGTAACTGTTAAACCATGATATAAAGGGGGAGAGCTGGGCAGCGCTGTGGCTAACTGTGTTCAGTAGCTAACAGGTTAGCATCTTTTAGAAGGGTCCATTAGCCATATTATGCTACACTATTTTTAGCTTTGTGTGAACAAAAACTGTTCATTTTCTACATGTAATATAACTGTTTTCTTCGTCTAAAATCTCTATTAAATTTTTGAGATTTTCCATTTATTCTTCCTGCCCTCAGATCTTGAAATAAAAACAATAAAATAAGCTTAGACTTGATTGTTACCTTGTTAAATGGCAGAGCTCAGTCTTAGAAGGCAGTACTTTCCTTCAAGACTAAGGATGATTGCTTTCTACTTTCGGCTACTTTAGATCCCTAATGTAAAATATTAGCAAATATAGGTAATAATATGTTTAGATTCCAAAAGAGATTTGATCCTTAAGAAACGGGAGCAGTACAGTTTATCCGAGTGGAGTTTCCATACTGTATGTTGATGTGAGGGGCCATAAGAAGGGGCAGGGCCCCGAGCAGATCTGGTACCTACACTGGATCTGTTAATCTGTTAAGCATTTTTAAACTAAAACAAAGGAGAAGAGTTTTTATTTAATTGTTAGAGATCTGATATGAACTTTAATCATTGCGATACTAGAAACAGATGCTCCACTAATGAACTAGATATGGACCCTAAGCTGTTCTCTGCCATACAAAACTAATATCTGTAAGAAAGTTACGATCTGATCTTAGCACCAAGCAGCACCTGGCAGTCAGAGAGCATCGTTAAGGTTTCATATTTAACAAATATTAAGAGCTGCTTGTTTCAAACCAATAAACATCTGATGTCCAAACAGGAAATGACCAAGACCAGATTTCAATTCAGTTTATTTATATATAGGTCCTTCTCAAAATTTAAGTATATTGTGATAAAGTTCATTATATTCCATAATGTAATGATAAAACTTGAACATTCCTATATTGTAGATTCATTGCACACTAACTGAAATATTTCAGGTCTTTTATTGTCTTAATACGGATGATTTTGGGATACAGCTCATGAAAACCCAAAATTTAAAAAAGTTAACTTTCAAATAATTATGTACAGTTATGCATTCAATACTTGGTTGGGAATCCTTGTGCAGAAATGACTGCTTCAATGCAGCGTGGCATAAAGGCATCAGCCTGTGGCACTGCTCATAATATGCTATTTTGAGAAGGACCTGTAGCGTCAATTCACAACACATCTCAAGGCACTTTACAGTTCACCAGATCACACAGTCAAATTTATTCAAAGGTTTCATCGACTCAAATACAATCCCTCACACTAAGCATGCTTGTAGCGACAGTAGAGAGGAAAAACTCAATTTTAAGAGGAAGAAACCTACAGCAGAACCAGGCTCAGAGTGAGAACCATCTGCAGAGGCCGACTGGGGTTCAAGGAGACAGAAGCAGAGATACAAACATCAACTGTAAAAGGCGGCCCCATCCAGGAAACACACAGCCAGGCAGCGAGCTCTGAGCCAGCTCCCATGTCAGAGGATGAAGAGAGCACATCCAGCCAGTCACAGTCAGAGAAACAGGACTACACTGGAAAACAAGCCGATCTCCAGCATCTATAAACAAGGGTGTTGATGGAAGCAGCACAGCTGATGTTTCTTACCAGAATGGAGTCACAGCCAAACAGGAACAGACGAGGCAAAACTACTATGAGAAAAAGGAGAGAGAGCAGAACGTTAGAGATTGAACTAATAGATTATGCAGATTGGGAAAATAGAGATAAAATAAAGCAGAATGATGAAATGGGGGTCCCTATGTCCTCCAGCAGTCTAAGCCTATAGCAGCATAACTATAGAGATAGCTCAGGATAACCTGAGTCACTCTAACTATAAGCGTTATCAAAAAGGAAAGTTTTAAGCCTAGCCTTAAAAGTAGACAGGGTGTCTGCCTCACGGACTAAAACTGGTAGTTGGTTCCACAGGAGAGGAGCCTGATAACTAAAATATCTGCCTCCCATTCTATTTTTTAGAAATTCTAGGAACCACTAGTAAACCTGCAGACTGAGAGCGAAGTGCTCTGTTAGGAACATAAGGAACAATCATATCTCTAATATAAGATGGAGCTTGGCCATTTCAGGCTTTATATGTGAGAAGGAGGATTTTAAATTCTATTCTGGATTTAACAAGAGGCCAATGAAGAGAAGAGAGATACGATCTCTCTTTTTCATTTTCATCAGAACTCTGGCTGCAGCATTTTGGATCAGCTGAAGGCTTTTAACTACAGTTTGTGGACTTCCTGATAGTAAAGAATTACAATAGTCCAGCCTTGAAGTAACAAATGCATGGACTAGTTTCTCAGCATCAATCCTAGACAGGATATTTCTAATTCCTGCAATATTCCTGCATGACTTCCTTTGGCGCTCTGTACTCCTCTTCTAATAAGGGCAGATATGTGGAGTCCACATTTGACAGCTGTTCTGTGGATAAATTGTCACACCTGAGCTGTGGATCTCTGCAGCTCATCTAGACTCTCCTAATGCAACTGTCTGTCTTAACTGAATTTGAAAGCAGAAAACTTAAAGTCATCCAGGTTTTTATGTCTTCAAGACACTAATGTAGCCTCTCTAACAGATTAGATTCATCTGGATTTATGGACATTAAAAAAAAAAAATATCTGAGTTTCATCAGTTTAACAGAGGATATTAATCCCATGCTGTCTGATAAAAATCTACCAATTCCAAAAATTCTGCCCAAGGCTGGTCCATCATTATTCCATCCAGATGATTCCGATTAACTTGCGATTGATTTTAGACAATAGAGACAACCTGTTTATCAGTGTTTAGCCCTATTTTCTACTAGACATAGCTCTGGGCTCACCTTTTTCTGTAATCCCTTTGACATGAAAACTGGCTTGGAGCTTTTCTTTAGCAATTACTGTTACCCTTTCTAACTTAGAAAGTATTTATAGATCAATGCAAATATGTTCCTTTTGTATGGTTTCTTTGGTCTCCTTGAACTCCAGCCGGCCTCGGAATGTGACCGGTCACCCTGAGCCTGGTTCTGCTGGAGGTGTCCTCCTGTTCAAAGGGACTTTTTCCTCTCCACTTTCGCTGCATGCATGCTTGTTGTGAGGAATCGCTGTAGAGTCAATAACAAAATGCAAGTGAATCTCTACAGTTCCAACCTGGTCATCCAAAATCCTACAAGGTTATTGATTCAATGCAGAAAGCTGGTTTTCTATCCAACCATCTTGGCCACCAGAGTCAGTGAGGTTGGTGTCCATCTCCATCAGTCTATTGGCAAAAGGTGGGGTACACCCTGGATAGGTTGCCAGTCTAATGCAAGGCGACACAGAAACACAAAATCTTGCACAAACAACTGAGGACAATTCAGAGACACCATTTAACCTAAGAGTTGTGTTTTGGGGCTGAGGGAGGAAGTGGGAGTACCCAAAGAAATCTGCACCATATGCAAGGAAATGAACCCAGGACCAACAGCAACAACCTCACTAACTGTGCCACCATGCAGCCTCAGCTTTTATCTATCTGGCTATCATCTGATTGGACTGTTTCTGTAAAGTACCTTTAGATGGCATGTGTTGTGAATTTGCTCTATGTAAATAAACTTGAGTTGAATTGACTAAGCAGAGTCCTGGGAAATATTCAAAGCTTGGAGATGGTAACTTGCTTTACTGAACCATTTTTACAAGTATCCGAGAGTACAAAGACCTGTGGGTCAACCAGTCCCTTAAAGATGGCCCTCAGGTATGACTGTCTGCATGTGACTCTATGACCTGTCCAGGGAGTCCTTGCAAATGACTGCTGGAGTTCAGAACCAGTACACCCCATCCAGCAGCGGGTTTAGAAGACGGGTAGATGATAGACTTCAAAACAATCTGTAGACATGAGTTCTGGTTGTTCTGGGGCAGAAATTCCTGCACAAATAACATATAAAGATGTTGATTATAATTGCATTTGTTGTATTTTTTTGGTTTAACTTAACATTTCACCTTCTTACTTTGATTCTTTTTGTGTCTCAGGCCCGAGGACTTTGAAGCAGTGCTGGAGTTGTCTGAGAATCCCATTGGTGACAGAATAGTTGAAGCCTTTTTCAAGCCAGGGTACACAACTGGATACCTGCTTTTCTCAGTTAATTCTAGATTATAGCCATCATGTTTTTACAGTAGTGGGTCCAGTCTGTCCGTCAGAACAGGAAATCAGTAAACGTTAAGACTTCCTTCCTTTTTGCAGCCAGGAAACGGTGGACTTCCCTTCCTTTGTCCGAGTTCTGGCTCACTTTCGTCCAACTGAGAAAAACCGAAATAGAGACAAAGGACAGCCGGATCCGGCCAACAGCAGAACCCAGAAACTTAAATGTCAGTATATGTTTCAAATTCTCTCTAATTTAACTAGCATACTTTGAAAAAAAAGAAAAAAAAGAACCAATAATTGAGAAAATGTCTGTCTTTAGTTGCCTTCCGGCTGTACGACCGGGACAGAGACGGAAAGATCTCCAGAGCGGAGCTTCTTCAGGTTTGTGACTCTTTTTCTTTTTAATAAAAATTATTTACTTTGCAAGAATCTTGATTAAGAAATAAGCTCAACATTTGATTTAACAACAAAAAGCTAACTGATCCAAATTGATGCAGAACATATCCTTACAATTCTGAATGCGTGTTTAATTCAGTTTACTGATAGAGTGCCAAGTAGGGGTGTAAATAACAATCGTTTTCGACACGTCCGCAAAGAGAATCGATTCATGTTTTTTTTTCCTCCGGTCTATTTTTATCCATTTGCTCCTGGGCGTAACTCTCCCTCCCGTGCTGCGGTGCCGCTAAACCTATTTTTCCCACTTACCTCGCTTCCTGGTTATACTCTTACAGCAGTGTGTTGCAGTGAGCTTGACACAGACATTTTTAATTTATGCTCAATATTGAAGCGTGGTCTGTGCTGAACGCTGTGGGTCTAGATAAGGCCGAGGCGGCGAGGAAGTGGGGGCAAGTTTAGTCCGACGACGGAGGGGGGAGGGCCAAAAAGAGCGGAGATCCAGGTGGAAAAAGGGTCCCAGCGTTCTCGCGCACCTCGCTCTTCTAGCGGGTCAAACTTCACGAGTTGTTTTCCTCAAAACAAGCTGGCCTCCTGTCTGCGGCACTGTTTGCGGTCAGCTACAATTTGGGAGAGGAGCAGCGGAGCGTCTGTGGAGGGGGAGGGGACGTCTGGAGCCGAGGTATTGCATTGCACTGATTTTCTGCAGTATTTTTTGATGCAACTTTTCTACTTCTGTTATTTGCTGTTGTTTCTAAAAAAAAATGCATAACGATATTACAGCTTTCATTGATCTATTTCAAACTTGAAACTTTGTTTAGCCTGTAAGGTGTAAAAAAAAAAAGAGAAAAAAAAAGAAAATTAACCGATTAACAGAATCGTATCGTGGTGTATTCTTGAGTATCGAAAATAATCGAATCGTTGGGTCAGGAAATCGATACTGAATCGAATCGCCATGATGGATGTAATTTACACACCTAGTAAATACAATACATTTATTTGGGGTCCCTTGAATCTGTTATTTTGCTTTGTTTCATGATACAGAGAAAATACTTAAAAGATAAGAGTGGGTTTTACCTCTTTTTACCTCTGCACAATTGTGTATCTTTAAAAGAAAAAACAGCATAAATCCACATATAACAGACATATTTAGACTATATTTTGTTAAATAGGGACAGATTTACTTTCTGTCTTAGTCGCTGGTAATTTCAAATGCACACCTTTTCAAAGTGGAAAAAAATCATAATTCCTCATTCATCAGAGCCGCACAGCATCTAGTGTGTAGTGCTTATAACAATTTTACAAATGTAGCAAGAAATGCTGCTTTTCTTTTAAAACAAAATACACCCTTATTTTCACTTCAAGCATAGAAAACCAAGCATGCATATTTTTGCATGGGACCAATAACATCAGATCAATAGTGTCCTACTAAAGTTGAAATCAAAGGAGAGAACAGAGCTTTTAGCCTGGTTCTACTGTAAGCTTTTCACTGCATTTTGTGATTTGCGTGATAGGAAAAGTTATAGTTTAGTCCTGAACAAATGCATAAACCATATCCTCAGTGTCACCCTTGGACAAGATATTCTGATTTTTGCAATATTCTGGAGATTAAAGAAGGAAATTCATGAACCTGTTTAAAGCAGGATTTTAATCACAAGTCCCGATCAAAAATAACACCAAGTTTTTTTTTTATGTGATTATCTGAGGCCAATTTAATCTGGATGAAATGACTCACTCATCAGCTTCTTTTTAAAGTCTGGTCTAAAACAATAACTGTTTTAAAACAAGTCATCTAGGTTTTTATGTCTATGCAATGGGCGACTTTCTTCAAGATGTGTGGACCAATATACCTCAGTATCGTCAACATAACAGTGGAAAATAATCACATGCTGTCTGATAATTCTACCAATTCAAACCATATTTATGACAAAGAAAATTAACCATAGAACCAGTTTAAACCCCAACATGAACAGAATCCATAAAGCCAAAGCAGAGAACAGTGAAGGGGTCCAGAGTCTGATCCAGCAGCCTGCAGAACCTTTGTCCCTCTTACGCAGTGGCGGCTGGTGAAAAATATTTTTGGTGGGGCTGATATAGCCTAGTGTATGTCTCCAACTAATCCGGAATAAGAATTCAAATAAACAATTGGACAATACATACAATTTAACAGTAATGATTTAATTTACTATATAATAACAGTAACAGTGATGATTTGGGTCACTGTGACGGGGTTCTTTGGCCTCCAAGAATCCAGTCTCAGTCGGGTTACCGGTGTTGGTGATTTATTGAGCTCAAAAACTCAAAACAGGGTGCAAAAGAAACTAAACATATACAAGATACTCTGGGCCTCAGCCTCCCTCCAGTTACCAGCAATGTAACAAAGAAACAGAAAACAAAAATTGCCGCTTTTCTTCCCACAGCCCTCATTAAATAGTTTAAGCCCCTCACATCAGGCTCTCTTATTTCTGATTTCTTCTCATTAATCAGTTTTGTCCATATATTACCTCCACAAACAATTGATGTACAAAAACAAATAATTTTTACAACTTAATTCTTTTACACAGATTCATTGACTTATTCAATTACACCAAACTGGGTTTGAACCCAGCAATGACGCAGCCAGACTGAAGATGACAGTCTGGCTGCGTCCCCCCCCCCCCACACACACACACACACACGGCTAACCCCACTGAAATATTAAGTGTGCACCCTCAATACGCCAGCAGGTAACCAGGAACAGCTTGTGTGTTTTAAGTTCATGGAGCTACTGGTCTCAGCGCGAGTGTATTGGTCCTCACAAACACAGTATAACAGGAATGTGTGTGTGGCGCGCAAAGTTAGAGAGGTTGTTTTAAGCGACGAGGTGGATTCGTCACAGTCACAATAACCATGACATGAAATGTTCATATCCTACAACAGGGATGTTCTTCTGGCAAACGGGTAGATAAATAAGGATCTCACCGAATTTGGTGGAAGCTGCATCTCGTTCGTTACATTCGCCATCTTCCCTCTAACTGTCTGCACCTGCGCTTGGGTTCAGAAGCCTGTTAAAGCGCAGTATTTTCAGCGCCCCAATACCATAAAGTTCCGAGACGCTGATTGGCCATTAAATTCACCTAGCAATAGTACATGATTGACAGATTCTCTGCAAATGTGGGTCAGTCTGATCAGCGCCCCCAGAACAGAGACGGTAGGAGTCTGTCTGTGGAAATCCACAAATTAATGACAGTAGATAGGGAAATGTAGTTTATATAATTTGTTTTGCTTATAGGTACACACTCTAGAGAGTAAAACTGACATTTATGAGTTAATTTCTAAAAATATATTTTACGTTTCTCTCTTCTTATCAGGGAGGGCGGTGCCCCAGCGCCCCCTATGGGCCGGCCGCCACTGCTCTTACGGTTCTGGTCCGTTCCTCGCGGGCCTCATGCAATAACTGTTGGTACAAACAGATTCCTTCCTTAATCGTCCGTGCGAGTGATTTAGGAGGACTTCACCATTTTTCTCCTATTTCTCAGCTTCTCTGAGGTACAAACAAATTTCACTAGTGCTCCAGACTTCACGTTGGAGTCTTACACAATCAGTCAGCTGTTACCCAAACCTAGTTTTTCACTAAATGGCCACATTTATTGTTACTCGGAAGTAAATATCCATTTTATTGTGGTATATCGTTATGTATTATGCAACTCCAAAATCTTAGTTTACACTTTTATTCCCTGATGGCAGAGCAATCGTTCAATACACTTTCAGCTGGCATGTCAGTATCAAGAGTAATTTGGTTTGATTTATTATCAGTTCATGAAAAGAAAGAACAGTCAGAGATCAAGCTACTATTGAAATAACATCTGGAACAGAAAATGGATGAAAAAGGATAGAAGTTCAGAAAAACTCCTTTAACGCTCAGACTTGCATTCAATTTGATTGATTGGGTTTGGGTCTGTCTGAATTTGTTAAATACACACACCTAATTAAAATGTCTGCCTATTAAAAGGAGATTTTGCAAAAAGTTGCCATGTTGGTTAGCAGTAAACTGACATTAAGCATTTGCATCACATTTTGCACCTCATGCTTCCATCAGTAGTTTTCATTGACTGTTTTTCATTGTTAAGGAAAACTGTTTTTAAACCTTAAAGCTTATTTCCCCGGTTCTGATCACTCAGGAACAGTGTTGTATAAAGTACTGAAATCTCGGAGTCAAGTAAAAGTACAAGTACCTCTCCAAAATATGACTTTGGGGAAAGTCCAAGTCGCTGACTGAAATGTTACTTGAGTATCTGTGATATCTATACTTAAAGTATCTGAGATGGCTTCAACTTAAAGGAATAGTACACCCAAAACATGATTAGCCTTCATTTTCTACTCACCTCCATGCTGAACAACACTCTGGAGTACTTTTTTGATATCTCAAATGCATCTGGAGATCTGGGAGACTTCTTGCTGTCTGCTGACATTCAAATAATGGAGGTCTATGGCGCCCGAGACAGAAAGGTCCACAAAAGTCCACAAAAACTTGTCAATATTCCTCCATACTGCTCGTCCAATGTAATCCAAGTGTCCTGAGTGGGTAGCATCCAGAATTTACTCGAAACAAAGTCATTTAGAACGTTTTAGAGCCTAAACAGTAGTGTATAGGATTTCCTAATAGCGCCCCCATGCGCGCTCACGATTCTACGGAAGCCGGCAGACCAAACCAGCGCATTCAGCTCGGCAAAGAACTCATGCTCTTCCTCAACACTGAAGTCCTCAGACATTTTTCTTTCGTTGTTTCTTTCTTTGCACAGGTAAACAGCACATTTCTTCTTCTACGCTTGCATTATCGGCAGACCAGACGCTGAATGCGCACTTCCTTCCGGTTTGGTCTGCCGGCTTCCGTAGAATCGTGAGCGCGCATGGGGGCGCTATTAGGAAATCCTATACACTACTGTTTATGCTCTAAAAACATTCTAAATGACTTCGTTTCGAGTAAATTCTGGATGCTACCCACTCAGGACACTTGGATTACATTGGACGAGCAGTATGGAGGAATATTGACACGTTTTTGTGGACTTTTATGGACCTTTCTGTCTCGGGCGCCATGGACCTCCATTATTTGAATGTCAGCAGACAGCAAGAAGCCTCCCAGATCTCCAGATGCATTTGAGATATCAAAAAAGTACTCCAGAGTGTTGTTCAGCATGGAGGTGAGTAGAAAATGAAGGCTAATCATGTTTTGGGTGTACTATTCCTTTAAGTATAAGAATTACTGTAAAAATAGATCTACTCAAGTAATGTAGGGAAAAGTATAAGTAAAAAGTAAGTGCAGTTTGAATGACATTTTTTCCCATTTTGGTAAACTTTGAAGGTTAAATTCACTTAAAATAATATAAACAACCAAGTGTAGTCCCCACTTTGTAGTCATTAGGCGGGGTCAAAACACTCACGTTTGTCTCGCTCATTTTACTTATTTTTTTTACTTAGTAACTAAACCAAACATTGAAAATGTATCGGAGTAAAAGTACGCAATTAAGTTTGTAAATGTAGTGAAGTAAAAGTGAAAGTTCTCAAAAAAATTTATACTCTTGGAAAGTATAAAGTACTCCAAAATATACTTAAGTACAGTAGTGAAGTATTTTTACTTCGTTACTATACAACACTGCTCGGGAAATATATATGAATAAAATAACCGTGAGACATGAGAACAGATTTTGACAGAAACTGTAATCTTAATCAGACCAGAAGTTGCTCTGAGTTACAGAAGGCAGCTGCTTAGCAAGGGAGCTCACAGTTACAGAAGCATTTTATTCAACTCCAGTCTGCCACATCATTAACTCAAACACATATGTAAATTAGGATATAGGACATAATGACTTTTTATCCTGACAGAGCAAAAGTCCTAATAAACGACTTGGGAAAACATTAGTTCTGACATGTACAAGCAGATGTTATTAGGGTTTAACAGACTCAAAAAAATTTAAATAAAATAATCCTAACAGACCAAATTTTTATAGTTTTTTTTGTGTTCTGTACCAGTGCAACCACGGCCTTTACCCCCCTTGTAATGTATGTCCCACTGCTTGGCTTTTACTGAGCTGTTTATTTCTACTGCTCCGCTCCTTCAGCAGAACTTTGATCTGCGTACCATTAAAACTATTCTTCTTTGTCTTCCTGCCTTTTCTATGAATGAACACCATAAGACAAAGCAGGGGAGGTCGTACCCTTATATGGCACTATCTGGAATAATTATGCAGATTTACATTTTACAGGAACGTGTGCTCATTTAAGCACTTTTAGACTATATCAAGTTTATCAGGATCCTTTAGGATCATTAACTGAAGTTAAGAGCAAATGGTAGAAGAAAAAGTGAGAGAAATTTACAAGAATAAGAAGATATTGTTGCATGAGGCCCATTGTTCCATTGATCACCCAGAATGGAGCAGACTTCAGATGTTGGCTGAAGAAATCACATCTGACTTTAGATTATTCTGGTCTAATGAGGAGATTGGGTTACATTTGGAGACTTAAGGTGGAAGTTGTGCGGCTCCTGAACACGTCCACAGCATTAAGCCCGCTGGTTCAGCCTAACTAAAAGAGACTGCCCAGAGCAGAACCAGCCTACACACCATAACTCAGAACCCATGTTGGAGGCGGGTTGTAAACAGTGCCGTGAATCTGATCACTGATGATCAATCGGCAGAGGAACCAGACCAGGCTGGTGGTTTAGATGGTTGGTTCTGCAGATATTTTGACCAACTGGTTCCGGAATTAAAAGAGTTTACAGCTCTACAGATCTGACCTGTTGTATTGTGTTCTGATGCATGACAGCCTAAAGTTTAAAGACATCCAATTTGACATCCTTCTGCATGTATCGGTTCCACTTCTTCAGCACCAAGTTGGAGGAACTTTATGTTTCAGTTGAATTCAAAATAAAATGCAAAATCTAATCTAAATACAACAAAGAATCAGAACCTTGACCCAGAATAAAACCTGATACTTCTGCATAAAAGCCGCCATGAGACCCGGTTATTGACAAAATGCTGGTTCTGCTACTGCCAGGTGCTGAGGGAAATGCTGGGTATGCAGGTGACAGAGGAGCAGCTGCAGAGCATCGCAGAGAGGGCCATCCAGGAAGCGGACCTGGACAAGGACGGCGCCATCTCCTTCGATGAGTTCAGGAAGGTGGGTCCAATTGAGCTTGGTTCTGCTTTCATTTTACTGACTGTAGGACATCTTAATGATGAGGTATCATCACTAAGTTACTGGAGGTCAGGTTAACTCCACCCAGAGCCAAAGAACCAGAACAGTTTGTTTTGCAGACAATACGCTCTAAAGAACTAACTTGTATCTTTGCTCAGATTAAAGGTTTAAACACAGGAAGGTAAGACTCTGTGCAGTAACATTTGTTCCATTATTGTGGCTAAGAATGCATTAAAAAATTCTATCTAAAAAAAGCAAACAAAAACATTTTAATCACAAAAATTTTGAGAGTAACTTCTCTGGTTTCTTAAAAAACCAGAGGATGAGTTAATAAGTTAAGTTAATATTTTTTTTTAAATATTAACATATTTTCAAATTCTATTTTTTCCGCATTTTTTTTTATCTTAAATTATTTATAATTGTTTTGTTTTTTTTATAAATCTTTTTTTTTTTTTTTTTTTGTCCTTTTCAGATTTTTACAAATTGCATACTTTCAAATTTTAACACGTCAGTCATTTCACTCCTGAGGCTTTCCTCTGCAAAGCTGCATTTCTATTGGTCTGCATGGATGTTGGTAACAACGTTTTGATTGGTCAAGAGCGAGAATTTGTATGGGGCTGGACGTTAAGAGAATGTGTTCTGTAAAAGCCACTTCGAAAAAGCATTTTAAATAACTCAATCTTAAAAAGAGAAACTATAAAAAAGAAAGTCTGAAAAAAGAAATGTTAAAACAATAATTTGGTAAGATTAATGGTAAACTGCCAGGAACATTGATCGTGATTAGCAAAGAATTTCCATTAGACTGAAGCAGAAATGTTTCATTTAAGTAGAAAATACATTTATCCATCAATACTAACATACTTTTTTATTGGATTTATCTCTGCAGAAGCTCTAATTTCTTTACATTTAGGGCTGCATTTCACCACTTTCTCCATTTTAAATGTCGAGCAGGTTTTTACCATTTGTCCTGCTGAGTTCTGAAACAGATCAGAAATCAGGATGATTTCACTCAGACTGATCACTTATTGTGTTAAAATGACGCTGTTGTGGCATCAGCTTCCAGCTTTATTGAAGTCCAAATGTTAAACGTTAAGTAACCAGATGAAATGACGTTTTGGTTTTATTTTTATCTGCTCCCAACTACTCTTCACTCCCGAAGGGCACATGATTAATTTGCGGTGCAGGCTGGAATGCAGTCGGTGTTAAATGACACTGATGTGTATGTTGCTCATTTACACAGTCAGCAGTCCTTTGCTGCAACCATGTTTGACTTTTCATTGAGACTTTTCTTTTATCTTCATATTTCTGTAAGATTAGTTTTTTGCTTCTCAATGGAGAAATATTGCACTCTTCCTTCTGCAGTCATAGTTTTGAGCACAGGTTAGTTAAACTGACACCACTGTCATTGTTTAGATTGGTTAGACTGGATAATCCCACTAGGCTGAGTTTAGCTTGTGGTTTAGCTATTTTCAACCCAACAGTCCAAAAATCCTCTACCTCTACCCAAACCTCAGCAGCTACTTAAACCTGCATGTTTCTGACACCATTTCTGATTTTTATCATAGTTGTGGGAGCATTTTCAATTCTTTAAGTTGTGAAAATGACTAAGTCAAGATTAGAATAAGTCAAGTCAAAAAGTCAAGTCTAAAATATTAGAATCCGGTAAAACAGAAAGGACCATGAGATCAAAAGTATGGATTTAATCTTCTGAATCAATAGAATACGAGTTTATTAAATGGTAAAGATAAATAATAAGCAACTCTAAATGACAGGAAGATACATGTTATCGTTTATTTAAAACAAATAGAAAAAACAAGAATGAACTGATGATTCAGCTTTAGCTCCCGTTCTAAATATGTTTTGTTTTCAGTCGCTGGAGAAAGTGAACATCGACCACAAGATGAGTATTCGCTTCCTGGAATAAAGATGCAGCTTCAACCGAGGATCTGAAGACTCGTCTCTGACTGGTCTCACCTGCTGCTGGATCTGGACAGACACCCATTTACAAGACCTGCTCCACATGCTGGGCTTTAGACAACAGGGGGAGGGGAAGCATATGTTTAGTGGTCATCAGGAAGGTTAGAGTCTAGTGAAAATGGTTCTTTGAAAACGAAGCTAATCAATTATAGATCCATCAAATAGGGAAGAGGGAAATAGTTAAAGCCTTAGTCTCTTTAATTTTAATCATTCTGATTTCCAGAGAGGAAATCCCGACATTTAGCATCTCAGAAAAGGTTGAGAAAAAGTTGAATATTGAAACCTGATGTCATACCCTAATCAGCTTATTAACACAGGATTGAAAGTCATCAAAAGATCCAAGCATATTCATAGAGGTGCGAGTGAAAGGAAACAGTTGGAAAATATGCGTCAGTAAAAATTAGAGCAAGAAGATTTGGGGGAGCTTAGTAGAGAGGTCGAGGTCCACTGCGCATCCTACACATAGGCTTAAGCGTTAGATGGCCCAAAAGTAATCTTCTCAACTGAAAGGAAAATTTGCATTTTCATTTAATTTACCAGGGTGCTTTAGAGAACCTCCTGTTTGAGAAGGCTGCTCACACTTAGCCTAAATGTGCCTGTTAAAAGAGTTCCTGTTAAAAGAGAGTTCTTCCTCCCCACTATCCCTGTATACGTGCTCAATGCAGGAGAATATCTACCGTCAGAGAGGCTGGTTTCCTTTTTTTAGCAGAACTTGGCACTGGCCTACCTGCCAAAGAGTCTTTCCAATGACCATAGTGGTACTGGTTTTGATTGGGCTGCAACTGGGTCTGACCTATAGAAATCCTATAAACGCTAACCCTAATGACCTTCTGTAACAACTGCTATTAAATGTGGAAAAAGGCATAAATAAAACCTTTTTAAGCTCACTGGAGTCACATTTTCTCAAATTAAATGTTTTTGCTTTGTCACAGGTCGATGTCGAGGCCTCTGTATGCACCCTCCAGAAAATGTCTGCGCTTTACAGCTCAATCACTCCAACTATAAATATATAAATAGTTCTCCTCATGGTTTTACTTTCATTCATAAATAAATCACTGTTCTTAAAAGAAGCCTCATCCAACAGTTTCTACCACCACCAAAGACGTTAAAAGGGTGGTTAGAGGTCACTGAGGGAGGTCAGCTACCTCCTGGAGATGGTCTGGGCTCAGGCTCTGCGGGGAAACCTACCAGTCTCTCCACACCATGAGGCAGGTCATCAGAGGGTCCTTTCTGTCAGGTCAACCATGGTTCTACTATAGAACATATAAACTCAAGCATCCTGGCTAAATATAAATAAACAAGTTTAGGTACAAAGAAAAACACAAATGATTATTACAGAACAAATTTCTTTAATTTCAGGTTCTTCAACTTTTATCGGTCTTTCATGTCATACAATATTATAGTTTTCCTCTCGGAAAATTACCTGTACATATTTTGTCCTATATCCCTCTACATTTGTTAAACTAAGGCTTTGGTAAACCCATTCATGCACTAAATATTCATCAACAGGAGTAAAGAGATGTTTTCAGTAGAGATTTAAAAAGTTACAAAGACACGTCGTCACATTCATTGTTCTTAGTGTTAAAAATCTCATATCTGCAGAAAAAAAATTAAAAGGACATCAAATGGCTTCAAAATGCAAATTAAAAAAAATAAATAAAGATATGTTGAGATAAGAAGGAAATATATGGAATTAAACCCAACCTAAGAAAACTAGAGATGCTTCATTGTAAACTGGAGCTCGTCAGGGAACTGGTTCCCGCACAAAAATCACTAAGGAAGGAACTGAAATCCTAACAAGCCCTGTGATTCAGTGGGAACCCTAAGGAGGTTCTCACAGCAGACTACAGTAACAGCTATGTCATCATATCAGAATATATGAATACAAATATGATTATGTTAGTAGATAGATGTAACCAATAATATTGGTTTTCCAGGAGATTCTTCACCAAACACCAGAACATCAGTTAGAGCAAAGTTAGAGCAATGTCCGGCTGTTATGTTCGACAATGTAGAAATACCCAGCTGCTACGTCGGTGTCTGGACGTAGAGCGATGATACAGAAACAATGGCTGCTACGTCCGTGTCGGGACGTAAAGCAATGTTACAGAAACGTCGGCTGCTACAATAATGTCTGAACATAGAGCGACGTTACTGAAACGCCGGCTGCTATATCCAGCAAATTTACAGAAACATCGGCTGCCATGTCCGTGTCTTGACCTAGAGCAACATTATAGAAACATCAGTTGCTACGTCCGTATCTGAATGTAGAGCGATGTTAGATCCACAACGGCTGGTACATCACTGTCTGAACGTAGAGTGAAGTTACAGAAACGTCCAGCTTCAGCATCCATGTCCGGACATAGGTTGACGTTATAGAAACTTCTGGCTGTTACGTCCATTTCTGGATATAGAACAATGTTATAAAAACATCTGTCTGCTATATCTGTTTTCTGATACAGAGGAATGTTACAAAAACATCAAACCGCTAGGTCAGTATCTGGACATTGCGTTGTGTAGGAAACATCCACACATAGAGGGACTTTACAGAATTGTGTCTGCCTTTTCCATGTCCAGATGTACTGCGGCATTCCAGAAACAGTGGTTGCTATTTCACTGCCTGGATCAAATCAGTCTAAATTAGTTGGCTCAAAGACAGGAAACTACTTTTGTCTTGTGTGGATTTTCATATGAATATTCAAAGTTGACTTTTGGCGAAACCTTTGACCACAAACATCGCAAAAAAATGGTTTCTCTCCCGTGTGGATTCGCAGGTGATCATTCAAACTCGTCTTTAGGCTGAACCTCTGTTCACAAAACTCACAACTGAAAGATTTCTCTCCTGTATGGATTCTCATGTGTCTGTTTAAATTGGACTTCCTGCCAAATCTTTGTCCACAGAAACCACAACAATACGGTTTCTGACCTGTGTGGATTCTCAGGTGTATTTTTAAATTGGACTTTCGGTCAAACCTTTGTCCACAGACGTCACAGCAGAACGGCTGCTGACCTGCGTGGACTCTCATATGAATGTTTAGATGCGTCTTTCGCTCAAATTTCTGGTCGCAAACTTCACAGGGATAGGTCTCCTGTCCTGTGTGGATTGTCATGTGTCGGTTTAAAGTGGACTTTTGTCTGAACCTTTGTCCACAGAGGTCGCAGCGGAATGCTTTCTGTCCTGTGTGGATCTGGATGTGTCTGTTTAAAGTGGTCTTAAGGCTGAAGGTTTGCCCACAGACGTCACAGCTAAACGGCTTCAGTCCCGTGTGGATTCTCAGGTGATCATTTAGGGTCTTTTTCAGACTAAAGCTCTGGCCACAAACGTCACAACCAAAGGGTTTCTCCCCTGTGTGGATTCTCAGATGATCGCTCAAGGTTCTCTTCAGACTGAACCTCTGACCACAAACATCGCAACAAAACGGTTTCTCTCCGGAGTGGTTCCTCACATGGACGTTCCAGCATTTCTTCAGACTAAACCTCTGTCCACAAACATCACAACCGAATGGTCTCTCTCCTGTGTGGCTCCTGATGTGTTCGTTTAGATAATGTTTCTTCTTAAAGGTTTTACCGCAGTCGTCACAGATGAAACACTTTCGGCTGACGGTGCTTCCGGCTGACTCAGGAGTACCGCTCTCCTTCCACTTGGTCCTTATGTCTGAGTTTTCAGGACCACGGTCTGACACCTTAAAGTCAGGGTTCTTTGCACCATCCTTTTCTTCATCACTCATCTCAGCTTCTGTGGAGTTGAGAACGCGAACCAGAGTGTTTGGGTGCTTGCTGGCTTCACGTTCTTCGTTATCGGTCTCTGGTTTCTTGTGCTCAACTGAGCTGCTGCTTGGGAGATCTCCGTCCTCTTCCTCATCCTCACTTTTTACTATGACTTTAATGACTGGAAAACTGCTGGTATCAGTGTCGTCACTCTCGTCAACGTGCTCGCCCTCTGGATCGATCCACAGTTCCTCCTGTTCCTCCTTTATGTGGACGGGCTGTGGATCCAGCTGCTCCTCATCAGAACTGCACGTTTCTGGAGCTTCTTCTTTAACCAGCACCCTTTGATGAAGATCTTCAGGGAACACTGAAACACAAGACAGACACCATGAAAACACCTTCCTGGATGAGCTACTATAGGTTTCTGAGAAATGCTCTATGGATCTGATTCTGGACATTCTTCCATCTGATAGCATCCTTTGATATGATCCCTTATCAGTAAATAAAATACTTCAGCTGCTTTCAGTCCTAAATCTCTTGCTGCAGTCTCTCATCCTGGTCAAACCAGTTCCAGTGGCTGTTCCTCAGGGTTCTGTCCTGGGGCTATTTTTTGTTATCAAAAAATAAGATAAACCAGTAACCAGTTTAATCTGAGGTTGAATCCATGATGTTAGCCAGTCTGTAAATGATGGTAACCTTTCAATAAGGAATCATTGATATGACCCACTGGGCGATCAGGTGATGCTTTGAAAGTGTTTAGGGAAAACTATTTAGTTTCATGGCAATGCCATCTAAAGCACGGTGCCCTACCTAGAAACATCGGAACCCGTAAGTAAGGAGGCATGGATGTCTCTTTGTGGGCAGGAAAGGAGGATGCTGAGCTTATTCCTGAATCTACTGAACAATGAGTTTAGTCTCTTTACTTTGCTCACCACAGTCCACTGACGCTTTACACACTATTGATCACTGCATATTATTAGAGCACCTGGAAAAGCCTGCTATAGTCTATACACGCTGTGAGATTTCAAAGGGTAAATCTGACTGCTTCCTCTTTCAATTGACAGATTTTATTTGATATTTTCCCCAAAATCGGAAATATTTTCCTGTCCAACTGATGAAATTCCAGCTTAATCTGACTAAACTAGACCTAGGGTCTGTTTCACTTGGAGCCCTCTTGCAGAAAATCATGTGTTCATCCCCTTTGTAAATGAGCGCAAAGTGACCTCTTATAACATTTCAGATTAGGGGTGGACGATATATTGAATATACTCGATATATCTTGAGTTTCCCGTGCACAATAGTTCAAATGACTAATAGAACCATCGAGTACAAATTCGCATTATGATATTAAGCCATCTGCATCTATTTCGTTGAGTTATATATTTCCCAAATTTTTTGAATGCATCATAAACCTCTCCTCCTAACAGAATTATTTTGTGTGCGGCACGCCCACATTACAGCAACCGACAAAGGAAATATGACAACAGCAGGTGTTTCAGCTGGCAACATATGGCAGTGGGTTGGATGTCACACCGAGAACGTCAAACAAAAGGAGCTAATTTGTAATTTGCTTCAAATGGTAGCTGTACATGTTAATGTTCACGTGTTTACTGTTCAATAGTTGATTTAAGACAATTTGTGAATAAATATACAAGTTATTGTACTTCATATGGTGTTAATGTAAGTTAAAATGCATTGAAATATTATCAGGTACACAATCATGTAAGTTTTCTTTGTTTAAAAAGCCCTTTAACCGGCTGCTGCTGAATTCTTGTGTAAAACTGACTCTGAAATCCCACGTGATTTCGTTAATCTTGCAAGATCTCGAAAAGGCGGTAAAAAATAAATGTTAACAAGGAAATATTCAGTGGGATTATTACTGCAAAGGTGAACCTGAAGGGTGCTGAAGATTAAGAAACTGAACCAGAGTGATCTTAAAGAACTTGACCTTTTTCATGACAAGCAGCCAATGAGGAACGTTTAGTTTGGCTTTTATTTATCAGAACTAAAGCTGGTTGGACCTGTAGTCCTCGTATTTTCCTTTACATTTTGGTAAAATGTTTTTCATGTACTGTGTGTTTACATAAAGTTCTTACGGCGTCACAAGGCACGATGTCCCATGATGTTATGGTAAGAGGAAGCTGTCTCTGCATGAGCTTCAATGAATAAACGCCCTTTTCAAAGAATCAACCTGTGTCTGTGGTGTCGTGAAGAGCAGTACAAATGTATCCCACCTTCTAAAAAAGTAATCCGCATGTCAGCGTCTCCCTGCGCACCAATTAAAACATTTAATAAATCAGCTGTGAAGGGGATGACATTGGCTTCATTGTTTGAAAAAGCGATCCCATATGAGAGAAAAATCACAGACCCTAATTATTAAGTTATTTAATTTTTTTTTAGATGCCCTAATACCTGTGATGGTATGTGGTCTTGATAAGAGGTTTTGCAGACATTTGGCAATGCTCTCAATTTTAAAACTTTTTATGCTTCTTTAAAATTCCCAGCCCGTAAAAATCAATGCAAACAATTTTGAGATGCTCTGATAATGCTCTTATATTTGAAAAGCAGTTTTGTTTTTGTAATCTGAGGTCAATTAATTTTTTTATACTGTATTTTTAAGAGCCATTTTTTATTTTACATTTTATTTAGTATTGTGTGTTTTTGGTTTGTTTCCCATTTGGTGAGATCTGTTTGACACCGAAAGAAATAATGCAGCAGTATTGTATGTGAAAAGCTTTGAGCTGGTTAATATAAAATTTTTAAATGTTTTAAATTTTAGCCAAAACTTTGATTGAGTATATCATTGCAATTTATCTGGCCAGCCAAAGCAATTTGCAAGGCAGGCGGGCGAGTAGTATCCTATGTCATGAAGTCTGCTGGTTGTTGATCTCTGAGCACTAAAGAGGAGAGGAAGAAGAGCGGAAAGTCATGTGGGGGAAACGGCACCAACAGGAAGAGACTACAACTAGCTTCAGGCTAGCTATAGGAGCTAGCTGGTATGATCCAAAGCTATAGAGGGGCACAGCTGCAGATTGAATAAGTCCACCGACAAGACAAACACTGAAGACTAGAGAGACTAAAGCTGCCTGGGAGTAGAACGGTGCTACATCAGAGAAGCCGGCCATGCTGGCAGAGCTAGGAGATGCTACGGTGGATGGATCTAGCCTCTAGGCCAGAGGTAACCAATTAAAAATCAGCAGGGTCCAAATAAAGAAAATCATCAACCAGTAAAGGTTCTGAGACATTTTTGATTATAATCTGTTACTTTAAACTGAATTTAACACTGAAATAAAAAAGCAGTTTTTTTATGCATCCATGTTATACAGTAAATTTTTTTAGAAAAAAATAGAAACATTTTCGATTTTAAAAACTAAAGTGTTTTTTGAAGTCGAGAACAACAATCGTTCAGTTTTGTAAATAGACAATTTCCTGATTCACAGGTTCACATAGATTTTCTTAACAATCAACTAGGGCTGCAACTAACGATTATTTTAAAAATCGATGAATCGGCCGATTATTTTTTCGATTAATCGATGAATCGGACAAAAAATATTTTTTATATTAACCTCTTTATTTCAAAATAAACATTTTAGACAGAACAAACAAGCACACAAGTACAGGTTGCTCATTAACTGTACTGGTGCAATATGAAAAATAAATGTTTGTGTTAAAACTACGCAAACTTACATGAGAAATGTAGCTGTACATCCACACAATATAGGCTACTTTGTTTCATAAAGCGCAAAAAAAGACAGGCATTTTTGTTTTTAAAAGCCCCTAAGGGGTTCAAACAATAGGCCCCCCATTTCAACAAATGAGTTTTTTTTAGACTAGAAGAGTTCTGCCTTTTAAGACAGGACAGTATAGCAGTTAAAGTTGCTACTTGAGAAAATACTGAACCATAGAGATAAAAATTACCCTGTGATTCAAATTATAAATTGTATTTGGAATAAAAATGAGAGAACTAGGGGTGCTAAAAAACACATCCTCCAAAGACAGATATTTACATGGGAATGAGGCAGATAATTAATTGACATATTACTGATCTTGCTGGATTTTATTCTGCTTTACTTCCATAAATTGCAGGATCTTTACTTTATCTTTGCCAGAAGATTTAAACTTTAAAAGCCTTGCCTTCATAATTTGCAAGTTAATTTATTTATAGAGTAAATATAAACGCTTCTTAAGCTAATTCAAATGAAATTAAAAGTAAAATAAGTAGCCAACCTTATCACTGTCTGTAACCTAATAACACGGTAAGGAAAGCATCAGATGAGCTACCTGAGAAACTAACGTTACGTTTCCCCACTTTAAAACCAAACAAACATGGTGGTTCCGTGCCATGCTAATTTGTTTTGACAAAAGTTGCATGTTACGACTTTTTTCACTTTACAAAGTGCAGGCTATTTTAATTATTGTGATCAATTTGCGCCGTCAATCCCGGCGCATGCAGTCCTGCGGCTCTGACTGCAGCGCTGAAAGGGACTCCTGCGGGAGAAGGGGGGAAGGCGCCCCACGGCAGAGTAGGAACGATACATGCTTTCACGTAAGAGACTCCAAAAGTCGCCAGTGACACCGTAAAAAGTCGCCAGATTTGTCGCTAGTCTCTTTTTTGAAAAATAGTCGCTGGAGGGGTCTGAAAAGTCGCTGAGTTGGCAACACTGCACCCGCGGCGCTGACTCTCTCTGCCGTATTTTTTTTTTCTTCCCCCGTTTCAGTCAAGTGGATGTGATGACGGCGGCGGATGAAGCATTAATCGCGCGACACAACTAATCGATGATGAAATTCGTTGCCAACGCTTTTAAAAGTCGATTTTATCGATTCATTGTTGCAGCCCTACAATCAACATACAACGAACCGAAAACCGTGACCACGAACCGTGAACCGAACTGAACTGTGGATTTTGTGAACCGTTCCACCCCTAATATATATATATATTATTAAGGGGTTAAATAATAATAATCATTTTGCATCAATACATCCGCAAGAGTAGCGATTCATGTTTTTTTTTTACTGCTCCGGTCTATTTTTATCAATTTGCTCCTGGACGTAATTCTCCCTCCCGTGCTGTGGTGGCGCTAAACCTAGTATGCACTCCTACCTCGCTTCCTGGTTATACTCTTACAGCAGTGTGTTGCAGTGAGCTTAAAACAGACATTTTTGATTTATGCCCAACATTGAAGCGTGGTCTGGGTTATACGGGTCTAGATATATGGGTCTAGATGCGGCCGAGGCGGTGAGGAAGTGGGGGCAGGTTTAGTCCGACGACGGAGGGACATGAAGGCCAAAAAGAGCCGAGTTCCAGGTGGAAAAAGGCTCCCAGCGTTCTCGCGCACCTCGCTCTTCTAGCGGGTCAAACTTCACAAGTTATTTTCCGCAATTTCGGTCATAAAAACAAAACAACTTTTCAACTTCTGTTATTTGCTGTTGTCTCTCAAAAAAAATGCATAAAGATATTACAGCTTTCATTGATTTATTTCAAATTTGAAACATTGTCTAGCCTGTAAGGTGTAGAAAAAAAAAAAAAAAACACGAACCAATTAATTTAATCAAATTGTATCGTGGTGTATTCTTGAGTGTCGAAAATAATCGAATCTTTGGGTCAGGAAATCGATACAGAATCGAATCGCCATGATGGATGTGATTAATACCCCTAATTATTATCGTTGATTTTTTTAACTTTTCTTTTTACTTTTCTATTTCTCAGGCTCCCCATGTGTTTTACTACCTGTTTCACTATGTAGCACTTTGAGATTTGGTTAAATATAAAGTGCATTACAAGTCCAAAGTATTATTATTACTATCATTCTTTATATATATATATATATATATATATATATATATATATATATATATATATATATATATATATATATAAAATGCACTAAAAGGCATCTCTCTAACTATCTATAAATACAAATATTAGTTTATTATGATTCTCTTTTGTTCTCGACAATAGGAAAGCATTCAATAAATAAATGTTAGAGCTCATTTTTGGAAAATACAAAAACCTAATGAAAGCGTTCAGGTGGAGTAACTGTAGATCCATCTGCCCCAACCCTCAGAGCGTCCTCGCCAACTTTCATCACAAAGTTACACCTTTGATAGAGATTATTTGAAAATGGTTTATCAAAAAGGATCCCATACTAAGATTTATTGAAAATCCCAAAGACAAAAAAAAAAAATATCCTGTTTATAGCAACATGAAAAATGAGAAAAACAACATAGAGCATGGCCAACACCAACTGAATTAGCAACACCATTTATAAAATAACATTAAAATAAGATTCAATAGAGGGTTATAATGAGAACATCAATAATATTTACCTTATTACCAATTTCTTATTCCTTATTTTAACATGTTCTTTGTACAAAAGTAGCTTATAATTAATGTGTTTAAATGTCAGTGTCCTTTTTATTCTGTTGACCCCTTTCCCCAACTGCTGTTGGTTGCCAGGCGACCTGCCACTCGCAATATGGCGGACGCGCTGACGTTTCACCTTTGCAGAGCCAGAAGCCTGAGCAGCCTCTGTGCGTGTCAACCTTAAGCTAGCCTCCGCGGATTGATTGAGGAGAATCAAAGCATACAGACCCAATCTGTGCAGCCGGTCTAACGGGTTATAATCCGCGTCCTGCTCCTCTGCAGCCTCAGGTCGCTGTTTGTCCTGCTGTCTCCACATCTCTGGTAGCTTTTCTCCCTCCGAACTTTTCCAACAGTTACCGAGCAGATCCAGCTCAGCTTCTAACCGTAACTCGTCTTTCCAGAGCTTCCCTACTGCTGCTGTTTCTATCCAAAAGCTTCATTAAGCCGAACCGCTGCTCTGGTGTCAGAAACCCACGAAAAAACGAAGGACAAGGCTCCTCCATCATCTTCTTCTCCACAATCTTCTTTGTGTTTAATGGCGGATTGGAATGTCGTCACACAGTGACTACGGCCCCCTAGCGTACCGGGGTATGTAGGACAGACTCTACTCAAAATAATCCAAAGCAATTAACTTTATTTTAAGAATGTTTTACTTGGAATTACAGAACACAGAAAATAACTCTCTGACTATTTCTTTTTATGTTATCTTTTGCTTCTCTTGGCCAAATTTTATATCAATAAATGTAAAATTACTATGAATAAACGCTCATGTACTTCTTTCTTAAAGGAGGCAACAATTTATTTCTCTATATTATCCTCTTCTAATAAAAAAAGGCTGTTAAAACTTTATGTCTATGCTCTAAATTCAAAATATTTATATAATCCCCTTATATGCTTCTATGTCTAGCTTTACTCAATCCCTTTACTATTTTTACGTTTATTCAGTTATTTTTTAGTTATTATTACTATTTTTGTTCAAACCCTGGCGATTGTTCTTTAGAAATTGTACTTGTAACTTGTTGTAGTACAAAAGTTCTTTAATAAAGATTTAAAAATTAGTAATAAGGAAAGGCAATAATCTAAGGCCAAAAAAGAGAAAGAAAAGGATTTAGTAATCACTAATTGCTTATTTCATTTCACTTTGTGCCACTGATCCTCTGCATGGCCCTTCATTCTCCTACATTAGTGACCATGTACTGCTTTGTAAACATGGGCAGTCCCCTGAAAACATACAAGACACAAATTGAAATCTAATCAGGAACATTTCTCTTCAAATTGTTGTATTTTCAATAGATTTGATCAGGTAAGTTAGGCAATTGGCCAATGGAATAAGATTATTTGTCTTCATAATAAAAGATATAATTAAACACTAATTTTAAAAAAGTATAACTTTTTTAGATCCGTTTTAGATCCGTATGAATTTATTACAATGATGTGTGAGGACACAAGAGACCATAACTGATTTTATTATTTTGCCTTTATAATTTACTTTAACAATTATTTTGAAATTCCCACCAGTTGAAAATAGAATGGGAGGCAGATCTTTTAGTTATCAGGCTCCTCTCCTGTGGAACCAACTTCCAGTTTTAGTCTGTGAGGCAGACACCCTGTCTACTTTTAAAACTTTCCTTTTTGATAAAGCTTATAGTTAGAGTGGCTCAAGTTATCCTGAGCTATCTCTATAGTTATGCTGCTGTAGGCTTAGACTGCTGAAGGACATAGGGACCCCCATTTCATCATTCTGCTTCATTCTGTCTCTATTCTCCCAATCTGCAGAATCTGTTAGTTCAATCTCTAACATTATGCTCTCTCTGCTTTTTCTCAGAGTAGATTTGACTCATCTTTCCTGTTTGGCTGTGACTCCATCCTGGAGAGAAATATCAGCTGTGCTGCTGCCATCGACCGCCTTGTTTATAGATGCTGGAGATCGGCCTGTTTTCCAGTGTAGTCCTGTTTTTCTGACTGTGACTGGCTGGATGTGCTCTTTTCATCCTCTGACATGGGAGCTGGTCGGAGTTCGTCTGCCTGGCTGTGTGTTTTCTGGACAGGGCCGCCTTTTACAGCTGCTTTTTGTATCTCTGCTTCTGTCTCCTTGAACCCCAGTCGGCCTCAGCAGATGGCCGCTCACACTGAGCCTGGTTCTGCTGGAGGTTTCTTCCTGTTAAAAGGGATTTTTTCCTCTCCACTGTCGCTACAAGCATGCTTAGTGTGAGGGTTTGCATCCGAGTCAATGAGTTGATGCAATCAACTGGTTTTCCTTAGATAGAAAACTTTGAATCAATCTGATTGCATGATCTGGTGAACTGTAAAGTGCCTTGAGATGACATGTGTTGTGAATTGGTGCTTTAGAAATAAACTGAATTGAAATTGAATTGAGTTATATGCTTCAGTGGTACTAAGGTAAGATCACAGTTTTCATTTGTTAGATTAGGAATCCAAAACCACGGCTCACTTAATATACTTAAGGATGAGCTCTTGCCATGTTTGTTTCTTTGTTTATTACATGTTTGTTATTTTCTTCTGTGCCTCAATTAGAAAACTCTGCCCCCCCACCGTAAATTTAATCAAGAACCCCTACTACATCTTTAAAGATGTGTGACCAACTCTTAAACAGAATAATAATTTACTACTACTGCATTAACTCTCTTAATCATGTTTTGTTTTCATAATTTTTTAATTTGTGTTGACAGTTTCATATTTTTAGCCAAAAGTATGACATGTTGTGATTAGTGTTGCGCATATACCATGTATATACCATGGCCCTGATACCAATACCCAATACATGGCTGTGCAGTATTAGCCGATACGATACCATCTGTTTGAAATTGACGTGTGTGTATACAGTATATGAAGGACTGCATACTGCATACTCCAGAACTACAGGCCCATATCAAACCTCCCCTTTATCAGTAAGATTATTGAAAAAGCAGTGTTTCAACAGTTAAACACTTTCTTAGATATGACCAGCCGCTTTGACGTGTTCCAGTCAGGTTTCCGTGCTCACCACAGTACAGAGACCGCCCTTATCAAGGTGTTCAATGACATCCGTATAAATACAGACTGCGGAAGAACCACAGTGCTGGTACTATTGGACCTCAGTGCAGCATTCGATACTGTCGATCACTCCATCCTGTTAGAGCGCCTGGAAAACTGGTTCGGCCTCTCTGGTACAGCTCTCAACTGGTTTAAATCATACCTAAAGGACAGGGACTTTTTTGTGTCAGTAGGCAACTTTACATCAGAGATGACAAAAATCACATGTGGGGTTCCCCAAGGGTCCATTCTGGGTCCCCTCCTATTCAATATCTACATGCTCCCTCTTGCTCAGTTAATAAAAAACAACAACATCAGCTACCATAACTATGCAGACGACACACAGCTTTACATCACCATGTCACCAGGTGACTATGAACCAATTCAAGCACTGAGGAAATGCTTAGAAGAAATCAATGCCTGGATGTGCCATAATTTTCTTCAACTGAATAAAAACAAAACTGAAGTAATAATCTTTGGACCAATAGAGGAGAGATCTAAAGTTAGCACACAGCTTCAGTCGCTTCAGCTAGTAACCACTGATCAGGCCCGAAGTCTAGGTGTAGTGCTGGATTCAGACTTGAACCTCCAAAACCATTTAAAGACAATTACAAGGTCGGCTTTCTATCACCTGAAGAACATTTCCAGGATTAAAGGACTAATGTCTCAGCATGATCTGGAAAAACTAATCCATGCGTTTATTTTTAGTCGAATTGATTACTGCAACGGTGTCTTCACAGGCCTGCCTAAAAAGTGGATCAGACAGCTGCAGCTGATCCAGAACGCTGCTGCCCGTGTCCTCACTAAGACTAAGAAAGTAGAGCACATCACCCCAGTTCTAAAGTCCTTACACTGGCTCCCTGTATCTCAGAGAATAGACTTTAAAATACTTCTGTTAGTCTATAAATCTCTGAATGGCTTAGCACCTAAATACATCACAGACTTGCTATCAGTGTATCAACCCTCCAGACCACTCAGGTCTTCTGGCTCCAGCCTGCTCTGCATACCTAGAACCAGAACTAAACATGGAGAAGCAGCATTTAGTTCCTATGCTCCACTTATCTGGAACAAACTTCCAGAAAACTGTAAAAGTGCGGAAAGCCTGAGTTCCTTTAAATCAAGACTAAAAACACATTTGTTTAGGATTGCCTTCGACTGTTCCAGTTAAACAATTCAACAAAAACATGTTTTCTTTAATCCAACTGTTTTTAATATTGTTTTTTGTTTCTGCATTTTTTATTTTATTTTATTTGTTTTTTATTTTTTCCTACTTGCTTTGATTCAATGTTTTATCTTCCTGTATTTTAATCATGTAAAGCACTTTGCATTGTCTTTGTACTGAATTGTGCTATACAAATAAATTTGCCTTGCCTTGCCTTGCATACTACTTGGATGTAAAATAATTGCCATCATGGCTTTGTCAAGCTGCTGCCTACCTTTGTGAGGCAGGAAAAAAAGGCTATTACAACTTTTGGCTCTCGAAATGGTATCGGTGCCCTTTTTGTTAGTACTCGCCGATACCGATACCATTTTAGTGCTGGATCGGGGCCCCGCCTGATACTGGTATCGGTATCGGTGCAACACTAATTGTTATAAAGAACTATCTTTCTCTTATCTTCAACAAAATAAATACATTTTTTCTCATTAATTTAGACTGAAATCTAATTTTATTTAATTCCAACACGTGCAGGTATCCACCGGAAGCGCCCACCCCAATGCTTTACCAATACAACCTATTTTACACACAGATGAAAGAAGGGAATCCTTCTTAGCTCTAGGCTGTGCAGTAGAGCAGGATGATTCCCATTTTGACCACAAGGTGGAGCTCTAATGCAATAAATACACTTTTCTGTCTTCAGCGTATTTTTTCCTCTAATTTATTGGATTAAATTGTTTGTGTACAAAGCTTTTCTTTCTGCATAACAAATGAGTTCAAAGTACGTTGAAGGACAGAAGAAATAAAAACAAAATCACACATCTCATGAATAATATAACATTTCCTTGTAAAACAAATGAAATGTGAGCTCTTACTCTGTGTTAGACCTCACACAGTTACCTAAGGAGCTACTGACCCCAACAAGAAGCAGAGGGTCTGGTTTGGCAGAACTAATCAGAGTCTTTCTTCTCTTCAAGTTCTCTTGGGTTGAAGAAATCATACATTTATACAACAAGCTGAATTTTGGACAAAATGTGAACCCTGCAGGAGGCTCAGTTTTGTTTTAAATGAAGCCAGGGTCTCCACTAAGCCAGTGGGATTGAAGTCACTCCATAGTGGAACCACACACACCAAGCATTGGCTGCTGGAGAGCTAAATTAGATCCGTTTGTTTTCCAAGTCTGAAACATTTTCCAAAAATAACAATTGTTGATTTTACAGACTTTATATATAAAAAAAAGTTGAAAAAAGATAGTTTAGTGGTGAAAAAAAATACTTGGACATTGATACCCTGAAAATGTTCATCATGGTTTTTAAACAGCAGAAATGAACTAAGTGTAAATGTTAAATCTAAAGGTG